TCTCTCTCTCTCTCTCTCTATCTATCTATCTATCTATCTATCTATCTATCTATCTATCTATCTATCTATCTATCTATCTATCTATCTATCTATCTACCTATCAAACCTTAGATCGCTAGGAGTATCCTAGAAACTGCTGCCTAATATACGATAATGAAACACAGCCGGCGTTATGCCTAAGATCAACGGTGATGATTAGAACGCACAAGCCCCCTCCCCCCCCCGGATGGGCCGTCCCATAAAATCACCAGTCAAAAACCTCATTCCAGAAAGAAAGCGGCTCCTGCAGGAAGCTGTTAACTTGCTCCATATTCTCCAGCTTATGTCTTAGTTCTTCAACTTTCGAATACAAGGACGAGCACAACTTGCATTTCGTCGGCTGACCGTCCTCCCGGGAACCGTTTTTGCCATGAGCTTCGCCATGAGCTTCTTCTTCCAGGCTCACCACAACGACTTCGGAGGAAAGGGCTTCCACATCACCTACAGGATTCGCCATCTCCCCGAAATGCTCATCATAACAGTGCCATGCCAGATCCCGCTGATCACGAGCCTCCTGGATGGCAATGATAGCATCTTGCAGCTGCGTCTCCAAATAATGATGCTGCTCAAATTCATGAATTTCAAGAAAAAAAGATAAACCCAGATGATCGAGAGGCCCTTGAGCCAATAGTAAAGGATATTCAAACATTGGAAGATCATTTACTCAATTCTATGAAATACAGATGGCAGGGATTCAGAATACATGGCAAGTTAAAAAAACATCAGATGGAAGGTGATATGAACGCTCGTTTCTTTTGCCATGACCTGAGCTAGAACTGACAAAACTACGATAGAGGCTTTAATCAACCCTTTCACTAATAATGAACCCTTAGTCATCTCAACAGTAGCCAATATAAAATTAACTAGGGATTTTCATAAAAATCTCTTCACTTAAAAAAAAAAATATATTCCTCTTTGATAAAAAAATATAGAAATTGATGAATCTCTAATTTCCTTTAATAAATCTATCACGGATGCAAAAAAAGAAAAACTGGAAATGCCATTAACCAAGGATGAAATTTGGAAGACTCTAATCCTCATGAAAGAAGAAAAGACACCAAAAATTTATGGTCTTCTAAAAGAATTTTGGGAATCCATGTGGGGTCCTCTTGCACAAGATCTCATGGATTATTATCAAGCGGTCTGGGATGCGGGGGATATGGAGGAAATAGTTAATCAAGGGGTTTTCACGCTTTTGTACAAAAAAAAAGATAAACTTAATATTCGCAATTACTGTCTTATCACACTTCTCACAGTGGTTTATAAATGGATTGCAAAAGCACTAGCAGATAAAATGCTCAAAGTCATAGCTGACATAATTCAACCAACACAAACGGGGTTCATCACAGACCGAAATATACAGGATATTATCCTCCTTATAAATGAACTTATAAAAGTTGCACGCCAATCTAAACATAATGCAACATTAATCTTCATAGACTTTGAGAAAGCCTATGATCATGTGGATTGGTTCTTCCTAGACAAGTGTCTCGAAAAAATAAACTTTGGGTCATGCTTCAGAAGATGGATCACAATCGTGCATAAAAAACAAACCACAAGAGTAATGGTTAATGACAGTTTGACACCTCCAATAGAATTACAGAGATCGGTCAGACAGGGAGACCCATTGACACCTTTTCTCTTCATAACAATAATGGAAGTTTTGGCGGCCAATTTAAAACATGACAAGGATATTAGAAGAATTCAAGTGATGTCCATTTTGGAAGACGCAATCCCCATGTGCTCCCTTTTTGTAGACGATCTCTCTCTAATGGTTGATGAAACACAGGGAAACATGGATGCAATACAGAAATTAATGAACAGGTTTTGTAGATTAGCAGATATGAAGTTCGACTGGGGGAAAAAAACCCTAGGATGGTGGATACATCATCAGGAAGTTAGACCTTCAGAAACGCCCCGAATTAGATGACTTTCCCTAGACAAGCGAATAAGGGTCCTAGGCATCTCGTTGTCTGCTGAAGGGAAACCCATAATTAACGACGAGGTTATCTTCCAAAACGCTCAGACCAAACTAGAGCTATGGAAGAATAAACACACATCGATAATAGGCAGATCCTTGATGATTAATAATATAATCTTAACCTCAATATGATATAAATCAGCAATTTTGGCTCTAGACAACAAATGAACCAAATATCTTCATCAATAACTTAGAGCTTTCTTGTGGAAAGGAAATCATGATTACAAAAATGTCATTAGTAGAGTATCCTGGTCTTCTGTCATCCAACCAAAGTCCAAGGGGGGGATTGAGAATCATTGATCCCTTACTCCAAGCCATGACACTCTTCATTCAATGGGTCAAAAGACTATTACTCAACCCTCAAAACCCTTGGAGCGGCCTGACATGGGAACAATTACGGACACTGGCCCCCCAGAAAGTTGAGACCGTGGGCCCAGCCATGTGGTTAGAAAATAGGGACTGGTCCATCCCAAGAGGCACAACCAATGTGATAGATCCGCTTCAAATGACAAACAAGGAAGCAACCAGGAAATATATTATTAAGGATCCTTTCAAGCCGACTATTCTCAAAACATGGAGGAGGCTACCTCTACCGGATAACCATTTTTCCCAACGATGGGAAAAGATCAACCAGCAACCACTATTCAATAATACCTGGATTAGAGAATCCCAAGACATCACACTACATTGTGACGACAACCCATGGAAAGGATGAATCTGGAGGGGGGTAACTAGGATCAAGGACATTTGGGATGAAGCTCTCGACTGGATTTCCCCACATCTCCTCCATAAGAAACTAAAGCACTGTCATCATGTAGAAAGTAATCTAGACAGAATCGTGAAACTGATCCCCATTTAATAGTTCAGAGTGCTCAAGAGAGGGAAAAAAATTCAGGAAAGTGACTGGGTTGCTACGAAGGAGAATCCACAAAGGATAGGTAATGTTAGTCTCATATCCCTAGACAAGGAAGCCTTAATTGTTTCATATAAACTAAGAGAAGACAATGTAATAAACCTTAACAACGATATTATCCCAACATGGATGCCTATTGAAAGTATCTTCAGAATCAGAGTCATTCCATTGGATGCTCAGTCGTGTCTCGCTTTCAGACCATCCACGTCGATCTCAGACCTGCCCATAGACCCTGCGTGCTGGACGTGGGAAACCAAAAACAGGCTCAATAAGAATTTTAGTAGACACTTACACACCCTACCAGTTCAATCAACATATCGGATGATTAAACCAAAAATAAATCTGAAGGATAGGGTGGTGGAGAGATGGATGAAACAGTTGAATATCAGCAAGGATGATATGAGAGACATTAAATGGTTCAAAGAAACTAAGATCAAACCTTCCAAGATAGCCTCCCTTTAGCGGAAGATTGAACACCGGCGGCGGCTCCCCACAAATGACTGGCTAATAGACAGATCCTCCCTGAAGAAAAGGGGCATTGCGGATCCACGGTGCAAACTCTGCAAATCCGCGTACCCAAGTAGAAAGATACCAGAAACGATCGAACATATATTTCTTGAGTGCCCTAGCTCAATCTGGATGTGGAGGTGGTGGGACCGAATATGGGAACAATTAGAAACTAAACATAAATGGCCTTGGAGGTGGAAGGCAATTTTGCTGGCACGCTGGTCTTTAGAACCGGAGGACCATTTCACTCAAAATCTTTTCACCCTAGGCAGAAGAGCGGTTCTCTGGGCTATCTGGCAAAGAAGGAACACCTATGAATGGGAGGCCACTAGATTAGATGACCCGGAATTCACCGACAACATAAAACAGCAAATTCAAACTCATATACAAGATCAATGGACCAATATTAAAGAAAAAATTCAATTTAATTCATCCAAAATAGAAATTATGAAATATTCCAAAAATTCAGCAGCGACTGGCTGGAGGGGGGGGAAGGGGGAAAATTAGGGAGGGTGGAATAGGAGGGAGCTGAGATGGAGGAGGAACAGGACCTCATCAGGACCTTGGTGGATCCCTCAATACCTCTCCGCCCTGCTTAAGAGTTTCCGTGTCTTTTCACATTAATTTACCCCAAAACGTAATGGTACCGCTGTTATGGTATGGAAACAATACACTTGAAGAGGAAGGACAAACGGAGGATTAGACATCCAGATCATCATTCTCATTTAACTGTTAAAAAGGCTAGATAGGAAATGTTATATCTAGCGCCCCATTTTGGGTGAAGAGGCCTATTTCAACATGGGTAAAGAGTCAACAAGGCCAAACTCTCACTGGGTATGTCTAATAGGACGATGAGATATTCGGAACAGCCATTACTGTGAAGGCAATATTATTTATTCTCCGAATGTGCGGGACGCTAGACCCGTTTTTCAGCAGGTGTTGCTCCCCACCAATAGACGGAGCCTCCCAGAGAATGCTAGGGTAGTCTGTTGTTATCAGCTACCCTAGCAACAACCCAGGGCGTTTTTCAAAAAAAAAAAAAAAAAAAAAAAAAAATTATTAAACCACCAGTACCTACCGTGTCTTAAGGCCTGTGGCTCAGGCTACCGGTACGCCGGTCGTTCCCGATCCTCAAACTTTGTTGCCGAGCCTCAGACTACCAACGGCCATTTCGTCAAAATGGACATTTTTTATTTTTTGAATGAAATTGAAACTGAGTTTTTTGGCCGAAAACTCGTCAAAATTTGTTGTTCTTGAAGGTCAAGCGTTTTACAAACGCTGGACCCCCTGGCTATACATGGACCTAGCATACATCATCCTAATAACCAATGTACTCTGTCAACTAAAATAATATCCTAATTAAATATCGAAATTAAATTTTTAAATTTTGAAATAGTATTCATGAATATTCCAGAATCATTGTAACACTCAACTCCTAGAACTAAGGTGATTGGTATTTTTTAAGACCTAAATTCCTATATTTCGAATTTATGAATTTCCAATCTGCATTTCCACTTTCCATGTTTTTATTTTTGCCGCATTTGCTTCCGTAAGCTGACCTATTTTTGGAAGCAGACACTGCTAGGACCTAGGTAGAGGCTCCATCTATTGGTGGGGAGCAACACCTACTGGAAAACGGGTCCAGCGTCCCATTTACAGATATGAAATCAGGTCAAGAGTCTCCTGTCAGCATTGATTACTCTGGAATCCAAAGGAATGACCGAGAAGATTTCTATAAAAAGGGAAACAACCTCTTCACCTTGTGCCAGGCGCCAGGTATTTGCTACTACAATCTACTTCCTCCCTTCTCCCTCTTGATTGCTCATATATCGAAAGATCAGTAGAAATCCTAGCTTCCCCTTTCATTCTCTCAATGTTTTTCTTATTGCTACCCTCCCCCCCTCCCCCCCTCCCCCAACCAAAGCATTACAAACTTACTAAGGCTAGTTCTAAGGGAGGGAAAGAGTCAGCGAAAATTTCTGGTGATCTGAGAGTTGCCCCTGGTTAAAGTGAGAACCAGTTCCTGAAGTTTAGCTGGAATTCCTTTTTGAAGGGCTCTTCCTCTCTTGCCTCCTCTGGCCATATCACTTCCCCAGACGTCCCACATCAGATCCCCCCAGCCACTGGCAGTCCGAATTGAATTTTTCAATTGCTTTTGTAATGTTTTTTTTTTTTGGTGAAAACTGCATAATTTTGGTGAAATTATGCGACCATTGAGCTCTAATTTTTGTTTGAATAAATTGAAGCA